CATAACCCCATAAAAAAAGTATGGTGCAGTTATGCCATGTAACCTTTGGGGGCCCAGCGAATAGTGGACTTTCTTGATATTAACCAGCAATAACTGGTCTGTCTATGTGTGTAGCTGCTCCACCTTGCTGGAACTAATCGCTATTGAAAGGGATACGTCTTCAGCGTAAAATCTTTAAATAATGGCGGCCATTGACAGTTATTGTGTCACCGTTTCTTCAAAGAAGTTCCATCTCGTGGATTATTTCTAGATTTGATTCACTCCATATACTGTAATTTGCTTGTTTACATTTCTGTTCAGATAAAAATGGGCCTCATCAGACATAAACAGGAAATTTATCAAGTTATTGTCTTCTTCGGCCATTTGAATCATTTCTTGGAAAAATTCCAGACGAATAGTCAAATCTAGAGGGTTTAACCGGCTTGTATTTAAACTTTGTACGGAAACAGGTTTAAGTCATCATGAATTATCGGTTGTAATGACAGTCTGCTAACTCCAAGTTGCGAGTCGAAGCTCTTGAATTTTCCTGAATTGGCGATGCAACAGCTGCGATTGTTTCTTGAAAGCGAACATACAGATCTCGATGGTGCGGTCTTCTTCCGCCAAAATTCCGAATTCCCTTTCAACGGAAATGACGGACTGCAAAGCATGGTACCGCTGCACTATCTAAACCCTCTTATTGGTATCCCGATATATACGAATATTCTGGATATATAAGCAAATATATATAAGAAAGGACGATTACAAATTGAAAATATTTGCTATTTTTGATGCAAATGTATATTATTATCGAAGATACATTTTAACAATTTGACCCCGGCTCCTATAAAGTTTTCTTATATCTTCTTGGGTGTCAAATTGATTGTCTCTTTCGTATTTAGTTATTGATATATATAGTATCTCGCTTCTAGTACATTCATCCACTTTTACTATGCTCTTAAAGGATTTGTGCTAAACGAATCCGGTTATTGTTGCTGTGGTGGTTAGGAGACATATACGCTAAACTTATTAGAGGGCCATTTTTGCAAAAAGTTTAGCTTACAGGTGATTCTTGCTACTGCAATTCCCTGTACCAAATTACAGTTCGATATCTTAATTAAGTTAGTTATGGCATTTTATAAGTTTTCGATTAATGGCATTTTGTGGGCGTGATAGTGGTCCAATTCCGCCCATCTGCAATATCAACTTACGGTACCAAGAAACATGTATACCAAGTTTCATAAAGATATCTCAATTTTTACTTAAGTTACAGCTTGTACGGACGGACGGACAGACAGTCACCCGGATTTTAACTCGCTTCGTCGTCCTGATTATTTATATATATGTAACTTAATATCTATCTCGATTAGTTTTAGGTGATAGAAACAAACATTAGGTAAACAAAACTATTATACTCTGTGCAACATGTTGCAAGTACCAATTAATATATTCGGATAAAACTTTGTACCCTTGTGCCTTTGAAGTATTCCATCTCGAGTCTAAAAATTTTCAAAATCGGAATAAAACTGTTCAAGCCTCCACATACTGACTATGTGGACCCCAGTGCATATAACTGACTTTTTGCTGAAAATATAATATCAGTGAAACTGTAAGCTATATTCATGCAATTTGAGGAAAATCCTTGATAATAGTACAACCTTGTGTCAAAAATGGGTTGAATCGGTCTAATACTCCCATATACCAAATATAAGGATTTTCGAACTTCCAGTTCACTTCAGTCCACATATATCGGCCGATGTGGGAATGATTTTAATGAAATCGAAAGAACATATTGTATTTTTCTAATAAAAGTGTATCTTTGGGCTTAAAATAGATAAAATGGAGTGAAAACTTGCCTTAGCGCCCATATATTGTAACTACTATTCAGGATTTTGAAATATCCGGCAAACTTAACTCCATATATATGTACATATGTTTAATTTTATATATTTATAAAATGTCTTAAAAATTAGTTCTCAAGTATACCTAAGCAATGTCAAAAATGAATGAACAGCCATTGCATTTCTCTGCCCCCAATATATCCTATATACTGATTTCCGACTTTCCACTTGACTTTAAACCGTTAAGTTTTTTTTCACTTTTCTTAAAAGTTATAAAATTATGTTACCCCTAATATTTTACATTAATTTAATATATTAAGTTTAGCCTTTTGCTTATATCTCATTTAAAAATCGGTGTAATATAATTTTAGCTGACGGAAAGTAAAATATAGTACTTAAACTTAGTGAGTCTATGACCTTCAAATATATTAGTATGATACTAAATTTGATTTAACCAATTTACGATTTCGTTCAACAATGAAGTTGAACCTTTTCACTCTTCTTGCTTGTTTAACATACAGTTTTGCCAACATCTATAAGTATTTTACCATCTTTGATCCTTGCAAGTTATAATAGTATAAAATTTTCGGTTACACCCGAACTTAGCTCTTCCTTACTTGTTTATTATTATTCTTATTTTGAAGTATACCTAAAATCTACATATGGATTTGAGTGAAAAAAATATTGTTGTTTACTCTTCAAGTGAATAATATATACTAAACAAGTAAGTAAGTTCTAAGTTCGGGTGTAACCGAACATTTTATACTCTCGCAACTTGCAAAGGTCAAAGCCCGGGAAATGACTTCAGGTGTTGGCAAAATTTTATATTAAAGGAAGTATTGATCCGATTCAACTCTTTTTTGACACAAAAACATACTATTATCAAGAGTTTCATTTATTTGTTTTATTATATGAATTTCAATTATATTAGGTCAAGTAAAAGGTTCGTTCGGTTTTTTTTATTGATTTTTCAAAAGATGATAACCTTGTGTACATTTGTGCGATTTAACTCAAATATGCTCCGTTTTGTTCGCAGACTTGTTGCTAAATAGATGCCAACTTTATTATACCCCTCTCGTAGAAGGCCGCGTCCCTATTGGCAAAAAAATCGGAGAGTCAATTTTCACAGGCCTCTCTTGAGGCCAACTACTCACCATTAAGCGCAAATAATGTATACCAAGTTTTATAAAGATATCACAATTTTTACTCTCCCGGATTCACCCGGATTTCAACTCGTCTTTTCAGCCTGATCATTTATATATACATAACTCTATATCTAACTCGATTAGTTTTAGGTGATATAAACAACCGTTAGGTGAACAAAACTATTATACTCTGTAACAACAGGTTGCGAGAGTATAAAGAAATGTGGAAAACGGTTGGCCTCAAGGGCCATCCCTGCAACTTCCCTCTAATTTCATACGCTAACGTTCAAATTTCGCTTTTTTCACTGCTTTTGAGCTCTTCGAAATTTTTTGTATTCGATATCTAGCAAGTAGATCAACCGATTTCGACCCGGTTTGCGGCAAACGATGTGTTTCTTCAAGGTTTAGAACTGATTAGTTTTTGGTGTCGATCGGGCAAGTCGTTTGGTCGATTTTTCAAAATTTTTATTTTTGAGATTTCTCAAAATCTACTGGTCCGATTGGGGCCAAACTCACACGAAATTCAAGTTATAAGAGGGTCACATACATCCACACACACACACATACATCCACACATACATACAGACATACGGACATCATCGTAGAAATGTTCGGGGAAGCTTCCTCGACCCTCAAAACGTCGAGATCTGTTGAGAACTCGATTTTTGCAAAATGGGGTGAAACCAATATCTTCCCGATTTTTAGAAAATTTTCAATTTTCTTAGCGGGAAGTTAAAAAAGACGCCCAAAGACAGTAGTTTTCCAACTCATGATATGTTTCGGAATATTTGAACAATTGAATAATAATCAAGTTACGCCATCTCTTGGCAAATCGCACAAATATACTCATAGTTATAGATCGAATATTTAAAAATTTTACGACAGTGACACACATAAAATATCAATTGGCATTGATCAAAGAAAGAATGAATAAATTGATTCCTCGAATTACGTAGACCATATTTCTATGCAAAGACCAAGTCTTTTGCGAGAAATGTTAATTTACAACTTTTTTCAAGTTCTGAGAGGTAAAATTATCAAAATGACTTGATGAAATGAAAGTTTGTGAAATCAATTTTGAGCTGCTTTCAAGTTGAACATTGAAATCAGATACGCATTTAAATTTCTATGCAATTTTTTTGAAATAATAATTTAATAAGTGCTAATGTGGAAAATTATTATAGTCGATTATTACTCTGGCTCGAAAAACCTTTCCAACACATTGCATCTGTTCTTCCATAAATCACTTTAACAGTAAACTTTTTCTGAAGAACACATCTGTAATTTTATGTTTTACATTCTTTTCTTATTCATATGCGCATTTATGAACAGGTTGGTTGAAAAGTTAGTAGTGCGCACCAAGAAATAGCAAGTAATTTTGTTGATTGATTATGTGCAGAAAGATAAAACAATCAACTCTGAATATTATTGCAGCCTTCGATTCAGATGGACGAAAAAATTTGTGAGAAAAGGTTTGGTTTGCAGCATAAAAAACCATTAATCAAGACAATGCATATACTCACAAAGGTGTTTTAATAATGACAAAATTTAACGAATTAAAGTACGAATTGCTTGAGCATCCACCGTGTGCACTAGATTTGGCTCCCAGCGATAATTCTTCAGAAACCTGAAACAATTTCTTCGTGGAAAGCGTTTTTGTCGAATGAAGAAGCTATTACAGCCGTAGACGTAGAGCTCCCGGAAAGTAATTATAGGGATGGCATAAAATTATTTGAGGTTCATTGGAAGAAAAATTATTTTGTATAAAACAATATATTTCGGCCCAAAAACAGTATTCTTTCATTTCGAGCGCAGAAAATTTTGTATGTACCATAAGTGTGTTCTTAAAATTTGCGTCACTTACGCTTTTACACCCATCCTTAACCTCGTTTTTATTGCGATTTTCTTCACACTAACGCACCGGAGTATTCCCACTCCTACTCAGAAATAATGTGTATGTACATTTGTTATACAATTTTTATTTGAATGTCGATAAAAAACGAAGTACAGGTACAGTTCTCGTGTTTGATTTCAGTGCTTGTGATTGCCCAGTGTTTTTGTCTTATGCCGGTGCGTGGAATACTTGCACCCAGCCCGAAAGGGTTGTCCTTCCGCTGGAAGAGTTTTCGGACGTGGTACTGCATATTATATACGTTGGTGACCATTGCTGATACGGGCTTCACCATTAACATGGTCGTAAAAGGTGTACTGGATGTGCGAAACATTGGTTGGTGGTTGCTTTTCACATTTGGATCTTAAAGTGCCTTGAGAGTCTTGCTAATATACTCCTTAAAACTCTTTTATCTCATATTTTAACCATAAAACGTGTTTAGAACCATTAATATTTCATGTCAGTATACTTCTGGCTTCAATTAGTTTCTTGCGTCTGGCCGGAAAATGGCCGCAGCTGATGCGAAAGTGGCAGCGGGTGGAACGGAATATGCCGCCTTTTCAGTCGTGGAGTGAACGCGAGGCGCTGGCGGTGCGGGTGCACAAGGTGACCTTCGTACTGATCACATTGTCGCTGAGTAAGTGATTCGCTCTACGCACATGACATATTTAGTCAGTTAGCCGTTAATTTAAATTCAATTCTGCTTTTCAGCTGAGCATCTACTGAGCACTATTTCAGCCATACACTTCGCCAACTATTGTCCTTCACGAGTGGATCCAATTGAATCGTATTTCATGACTGTTGTTTCGCATATTTTTTTCGTTTTTGATTACTCTACTTGGTTGGCTTGGTTTGGAAAGATATTGAATGTGCTCATGACTTTCGGTTGGAGTTACATGGATGTCTTTCTAATGATAATTGGCATAGGACTCTCATCACTGTTCGAACAAGTGCAAAACAGTTTAGACCGTGTCAGGGGTCAGGTAACACAAATATATGGAATTGAATAATAATAATTACTTAGTTACTTAAAATATGTGTCTTTGTTTTGAGTTGTCTCAGGTGATGCCCGAAGCTTATTGGACGCGTACCCGCTTGCAATATCGGCTTATTTGTGACCTCATAGAACAAGTAGATTCCGCTGTATCTGCCTTAACTGTGCTGTCTTTCGCTAACAATCTTTACTTCGTTTGTATCCAATTGCTCAAGAGTATGAAGTAAGTTTGCCCATTGCATATTGTCTTTGCTTGGGAGGTATTTTGAATATATAATATACACATAGATTAGGATATTCAGAGTTTGCCAAGTACTAATTTTTCTATTAGTTAGTGTGTCTGTTAGAAATTTTTTACATGCAAAAGCAGTCTCATACCTTAAACAAAGTTTTACAAACATAATATGTATAGCATCGTATATTATATCTTATATTATTAATAATCATTCCTTACTTCTTGATGTTTCTTTAGCACAATGCCATCTGTAGCACATTTTGTCTACTTCTATGCGTCGCTCAGTTTTCTCTTGGGCCGTACCTTAGCGGTCTCATTGTATTTGTCCGAGGTCAACGATCGCTCTCGTGAACCTTTAAAAATAATCAAACAGGTACGGAAGGAGGGCTTTCATCCTGAAATCGACCGGTTGGCTCATGAGATAGGCATGGATACGGTAGCCTTGACCGGGTTGCAATTTTTTAACATTACCCGTGGATTGGTGTTGACAGTGAGAGATTTACAACGATATGTGCGAAATATCTCGATTTAATTTTGTAAATTAATTTTTTAGGTTGCCGGCACTATTGTCACTTACGAATTAGTGCTTATACAGTTTCATGAAGATCAGAACTTATGGAATTGTAATTAATTAGTTTGTTCGTTTGCAATAATTTGAAATAAATACATTTGAAATATTTCCATGCTTTTCTATTTGTGCTGCGGTTTTTAAACTATGGTTTATGAGGTTATAAGTATATCCATCTGGCTAACTCTACAACGAGCATTGTGCATATGTCAATTCCTACAATCATTATAATCATTTCGATAAGCATACGAGTACATATTTAAGTAAGTAAAGTATGTAAGTATGTCTTCATTTTCTGGCTTTAGGTTCAGTTGAATAAGAGGTAAAGCAGTAAGGTAAAGCAGAGTAAAGTTTTTCTCAAAACTTGCTTATACTATTTTGGATTGCTTTTCGGTTATTAAAAAATTAATGCTAAATTTCCAGACCTTTTTTTAAAAGGCGAAATATTGAGTTCTTTATTTTACTTGTAGACTTACTAACTCTATTAGATGAAGCAAATTTAATGTTGATTTATTTAAATTAAAGATTGGATAAATCACAAATTTGTGTTTTTCTTTTAACGATCGCGGACATCTGAATTTTCAAACGTTTCTGTCACCTGAAAGAAATTCGTCTAAGCCGACGATAAGATAGCTCAATGAAACATTTTGTTACTATTTCAAGAATTTAAAAATGTTTACAAAGACTTAGTCCTTCCAGCGAAACCAAAGGTAAAAGGAGAAAGTTTCTTTTAGTTTACATCAATGTTGACTGGCAGATTTCAGTGAAGCACGAAGTAAAGGGTTTATTTTATTATGTACACGTACGACATATTTTCAAAGAGGCATTAGTAATTTCTGATTCTATTTTCAACACTTTAATTATAATAAGTATACTTCCTAGATTAAAGTAACGTAATTAATTATTTTCGTTGCCCGTAGAATTTATTTTATTTTCCTTCTCTTAGTTATATAAAATTTTTATTCTCTCGCAACATGCTATTACAGTAATACTCTGTTTTGCTAACTGTTATTTATAACACCATATACTAATCGAGAAGATAAAGCTAGTTATACTAACTTGAATAAAACATATACAGATAACTTGATAAAATTTGGTACACATGTTCCTTGGTACTATAAAAAGTCCTGTCTAGTTGATAGCAGAAATCGGACCACTGCTACATCCACAAAACGCCATTAATCGAAAAACTATAAAATGCCATAATTAAGCCGCAAATGAAGATACATAGCTATAAGAACAACAGATCGTATTAGTAAGGGACACTTGTGGTTTTAAAATTGTTGAAAAGTTGGCGTGACATTGACCCTAATATTTTTAATGTTTATATGTATATCCCCCAAACCATTCAAGCTATATTACACAAATTTGCTCAGGACAAATCCTTTCGATACCTCCTATGACAGTGCGAAAAAAACCTGAAATCTGATAATAACCCCGTCCACTCTCCATATAACGGTTTTGATTATACTACTTAAAGTGCGATAAATCAATAACTAAATTAATCAGAAACGAAAAAGAAAAGTTTTATATCCGAATTGGTACAGGAGCGCTTTATTGGATTCGTTGTCAAAACTGTACGATGGGCGTGGCACCGCCCACATTTAGGGGAAACCGTTCCCATAACAGTCGGGTCTACGTAACCGGAACGGACCCGGATTTTTTCCGGCCAAGGACTGTCAACTCGAAAAAATTCTGCCGCTACAACAACAACAAAAACGGGGGAAATCATTTATCTTTGGACCTACACCAGCAATTTCAATCAAATTGGGTACATAACATGACTGTAACATTTTAATGGTACAGTGAAAAAATTGTAATCGGACTGCAACCATATCATCACATATAGCACAACTTCAAATTCTATATGATTCTATATCGGTTAATCTATGAATATATTGTTGAAACTCGGAGAGAATACTTTGCTGTTAAAAGTATCCCTGTAATTTTGAGTTAGGTGGAATCCGCTCAATAATTTCTTAGCCCCCATCCACCTAATATAAAAATCTTGGAACTTCTAGTTTACTTTATATCGCATTTATCGGTTAATATGTCGGTTATATCAATGAAACTCAGTGAGAATTTCTTTCCGACAATAGTGTATCTTTAAGCATACAATGGATGAAACAGGGAGAAAATTTGCATTTGATCCACTATAACCGATACAAGGATGTTCAAACTTCCGGTTGATTTGACACTGTCATACATACAGGTATATTAGTCAATATGTGAAGGTATCTCAATGAAACTCAGAGAGTATTTATTTTCTCGTACTGATATGATAAAATGGTGTCAATACCATACACCTAATATAAGAATTTTAATATTATGTTTGGCTTTATACCAAATATATCAATCAATATGTAAGGTATCTTAAGAAAATTCAATGAAAGTATAATACTGGATATACAACGTATTGATTTTTGAGTTAATCGAGTTGATTTTAAAATAATAGTTTTGGACACGAAGATAAATTTTGTAAGGAAACTATGTGAGTCACTTATAGTATAAATGAATAATACATCAAATATGATTGCAATCCGTTCTTACTTTCATCGAATAAAAAATGTTGAATTATTTTGCAATATAAAGTTTTGTCAACATCTGACAATATTTCAACGACTTTGAGCCACATAAATTGCGAGAATATAAAATGTTTGTTTACACCAGAACTTACCCCTCATTACTTATTTACCCTCAACAGGGTATATTAAGTTTTCACGAAGTTTGCAATATAAATGATCAGCGTGACGATTTCGTCATGTCTGTCTGTATATACGCGAACTAGTCCCTCAGTTCTGATAAGTCTATTTGAAATTTTAAACTGTATGGATAACTTCTTCTCGAAATTAGACATGGGTTATTGTTTCAAGCAACGGAGCAAGCTTCAAACAAATTGTACAGATTAGATTACTATAGTATATAGCTGTCATATAAATTGAACGATCGGAATCAAGTGATTGAAAGTAATCTTTTGTTTGTTTTTTGTAATCCCGTTTCGCAATGCTAATTTCCTATTTAATGGATGTGTCATCAGTATATGAGGCGCACTCGCTATTCCTGTGTGCTACAAGAGACACTGTGATAAACTTAAATAGAATATGCATGAAAGCTTTAAACACAAAGCTATAACAAAACATAGGATCATGTTAAAACGTACATAAATACAACAAGTAAGGAAGGACTAAGTTCGGGTGTAAACGAACATTTCATACTCTTGCAACTTGCAAGGATCAAATACCTTCAGGTGTTGGCAAAATTTTATATGAAAAAATGTAGCGCAAAGGTTCAACTTCCTTGTTCAACAAAATGTGAACTTTGGTATTATATTAAATTATTTTGAAAGTTATAGACTCACTTAGTTTTATTACTAGATTTAACTTCCTGGTTGCATTAATTTTTGACATTGTTCAGGTTTTTTAATCCGAAAAATTTATTAGTGCTTGATTTATATACTGGAAAGTGAAAAAGTAGTGTTATATGGGAAATAGGTGTGGTTACTACCCGGTTGCACCCATTTTCACAATATAACATAGAATCGCCAAAATATTCTTATGTTTCAAATTTGGTTGAAATCAGTTCAACAGATCCCGAGATCTGTGATTTCATCTAAATGTGGGCGGTGTCACTCGCATTTTTCAATTTTGACATCGGCTCCTATAAAGCCCTTTTGTTTCATTTCGGATGTAAAATTTAATGTCTCTGCCGCATTTCGTTATTGATTTATCGCAGTTTTAGTAGTTTTTTATAAAACCGTTTTGGGGAGTGGGCGAGATTATCATCCGATTTCACATATTTTCATGCTGTCTAAAGAGGTGTCGATATGATATGTTGTGTGCAAATTTTGGAGATATATATATTGCATATATTAGCAGGCGGGGCACGTCCACTTTTTAAAAAAATCCAAAGACAGGGGCCTCCTTTTATAATTGCGATTCGTTGTATTAAATTACGGGTTTTATATCCTAATTTACGTCTTTGTTATAGCACTTTATATGTTTTCGAATAAAGGCGTTTTGTGATGGTGGCAGTTGTCCGATTACTCCCATCTACGAACTCGTCCTCACTTTGCCAAAAAGCACGTGTGCCAGGTTTCATTCAAATATCTAAATTTTTACTCAAGTTTTCACTTGTACGGACGGACAGACAAACGGACGGGCAGACAGACAATCACACGGATTTTAACTCGTCCCATTATCCTGATAACTAATATATATATTACTCTATATCAAAGTGGATTATTTTTAGATGATACAAACAACCGTCAGGTGAACAAAAATATTGTACTCTGTAGCCACATGTTGCATGAGTTTAGTATATATGAGGAGAAAAATACCCTCACTTAATTTATTCTAATAAGTATATTTAATTATATTCATTTGTAAATTGAAAATTCTTGAGTAGTCACCTCAAATGCGAAAAAGTTCAGACAACAGTCGTTCTATTTTAATCCATATAATTTTCTTTTTGTAACTTTAGTATCTTTTATCAAATAATGTTGCATAAGTCCACATATTTGTACCTACATACGGTACATATCAGATCTATTTTCAATTGAGGGAGTCTGTTGGTAGCAGTCTTCCTTCTTGGTTATGCTTTCAGTGTCACATACACATACATTATTACGAATACTTACTATACGCTCTGTTATTTATGTTCCAAGAGTGTGAGGGCGGTTGGCAGATTTATGTATCTTTTCAATATGCCGCTTACGTAAATATCGAACTTCCGGAAAACATACATACATATACATAATTCATACGAACACACATCCATGTACGTACACATGTGTGGTTGAATGTCTTGCTGCTGTTGTTTTTGTTGGGGTGGGTCATAAATTTTGTAGCATCATTTCATAACTGTGAATATTGTTCGATAATTAAATATTTATGAGAGATTGGACAGGAAATTGATAAATCGGCCACAGTTCTAAAAATTTCAGATATGTTATTTGTTGAAGAGGGTCCACAAATTTATATCGCGTTTAATACAAAATTTGTTAAATGAGAAGATGAGCGAGCACTCTTCCCTTTCGCCAAATAAGTTTGGTCTTTGGGAATTCTAATATAATATTTCTAATAAGTATGTATTTTATTTAACATTTATGAACA